ATTGACTATGAACTGTCCCCTCTCATCTCCTCACAAAACGGCCACGGAATGTTACTCGTTCTCGAATCGGCCACTTTGACGAAGTCAACGGCGGCGAAGTCATGACGCGTCTAAAAAAGCTCGTATTCAACGAGTGTTCAACGAGACAATAATCGAATATATCGTCGATAGGTATCGACGATATATCGTCGTCGTCTTCTTACCTATCCTCTTATCATCGCGAGTCAGCGAAACGTTTTAATCGTTTCGCTCGTTATCGTCTGTCGAGGTAAAATAGTATAAGCAAGAGGAGCGGGGCCCTTCTTGTTTTCGCACGAATAAATCGTCTGAGATCTAAAAAAAAAAAGAAGAAGAAGAAGAATTACGCGAAATGAAAATCGAATGAAAAGCGATATTATCGGTAAAGTAGAGAGAAAGTAGATTGATTGTATTGATTTTTTGATCGAGCTTCTTAAATTTCGATAAATTTAATCTGTCACGTCCTCGTCTTCTCGCGGATTAACGCGAAAGGAAAAGAATTAGGATTAGAACGACGGGGGAGGGGGGGAAAGAGAATTTTCTTAATCACGAATAATATTGATTTCGTGAGGTTAGAAAAAATGGAACTTTATCTAATCTCAAGTCTAAATAAAATCGATCGATAATTATTTGTTCGATGTATACACATCGAATCAAAAATATTCTTGTATCTTTTTAGTAGGTTTACAACGCGATTTTCTTCTTCTTCTTCTTCTTCTTCTTCTTCTTCTTCTCGCCTTTCGAATTTCAAATTGCGAAATGATGTTCCAGAAGTTCCAAAATGATGCGGGCGTATTTCGAAAATGTATTCGAAATATATAAGCTTTAACGCGTAGAATCGACGTTATCGATGTAGATACGATAGATCAGATAGAATCTAATGTTACTTAAAAAAAAAAAATAAGATAAAGAAATGAAGCAGAATACGTAGGAATAATAAAATTTGAAAAGAATTAACGATGAAAGGAAACGAATGATGAATGAATTTTCTCTCTCTCTCTCTCTCTCTTTCTTGAAATATTAGGTAGAGCCTGTACAATGGACGTTCGAGAATATCAGCGTGAACGAAGATTCCAGCCCGAGCGAACTTCGACATCTGGCCGACTTTCTATCGAAGAAACAATTTGATCTTGTGATTAATTTACCAATGAGGAACGGCGGTGCACGCCGAGTTTCCAATTTCATGACACACGGATACCGTACGAGGAGGCTCGCCGTCGATTATTCCGTTCCTTTGATCACGGATGTTAAATGTGCTAAATTGCTCGTTGAAGTGAGTGCAAAGTTTGATATTGAATTTAATAATCTCGTCTAAAAGGTTCTCAATAATTTCAATTGTCGTCGCTCCTGCGTTTAAGAGAAAACGTTTGGCACGTGTAGACTTATTTCTTTTTTTTTTTTTTTGAAATGACGTATACAATCGAATAACACGTACAAGCAAACGTAACTCGCCGAGTTGATAAAGATAAGAATAAAGAATTTAGAGTAAAATTTTTTGGAGAAAAAAAATCGTGCTTGAAATTTTCGAGCTGAAATTGATCAATAGAAAGAGTTATTCTATTCGTATAGAAGAAGAAAAGGGAAAAGAAAAAATTAAATGTGAATTTTATATCATCGATATTATACAATTTACCAATTCGATAATTTCTTCATTTTTTCATTCCCGCTTCGAAAAGTTGATTTCAAACTTGATTTTCTACAAAAACCATAGACGAAATAAATTTTACAAATTTTTTTTTCATATCGGCTCGAACGTGTTATTCAGCCTGGAACGCGTGCAGCCACGTAGCTGAAGCGAGCATATATAATTGTCGACGCCACTGTTACGATTATCGTGGACTGACGTCACAATAAATACGCATTCTGTTTCGTCGTAGGCTATGAGAATGCTCGGCGGACGTGCACCTCGAATGAAAACTCACACGGATTGTATGTCATCGCGGACGATGATTAAACTTCCCGGCTTGATCGATATTCACGTGCACACGCGTGATCCTGGCGCAGTTTACAAAGAAGATTTCGCTTCTTGCACGGCCGCTGCACTCGCCGGAGGTATCACGATGATCTTTGCCATGCCCAACACGAATCCTGCTGTCGTCGATCATCAATCATTCGCTCTGGCGAAAGAAGTGAGAAAAAAAGAAAAATGCTGTTTGTCTGCCGACTAAAAAAAAAAAATTCTTTTTTTCAGCGCGCCCTTTCAAACGCGAGATGCGATTACGCAATTTACGTCGGCGCCTCGTCCGACAATCACAACATAACGGCCGAATTAGCTCCCTTAGCGGCTGGACTTAAAATGTATCTGAACGAGACTTTCACAACACTCCGATTGTCCGATCTTACCGCGTGGATCAAGGTATTATTGTTATTATCGATTCATTGAAATTGCTGGCCAAACTTTTCGTTTGTAAATATAATTAATTTCTTATATATTTTTTTTTTTTCAAACAGCATTTCCAAAGTTGGCCAAAGAAGTATCCCCTTTGCGTTCACGCCGAAGGCCAAACAACTGCTGCGATTCTCTTGCTGGCTGGCTTGCATAACAGGCCTATCCACGTCTGCCATGTAGCTCGAAAGGAAGAGATTCAAATAATACGCGCGGCCAAAGAGAAAGTATGCTGTTCAGTTATTACAAGTTTCATCCTCTATTCATCCGTTTACGACAATTGTTTCGTTTGTACATCATCAGGGAATGGCTGTCACTTGCGAGGTGTGTCCTCATCATTTGTTCCTATGCGTGGACGATCTTGAACGGATAGGGCCAGGCCGAGGCCAGGTGAGGCCGTTATTAGGAACCAAGGAAGATCAACAAGCTCTTTGGAATAATTTAAGTATAATCGATTGCTTCGCCACGGATCACGGTTAGTTTCAATTCTTCTTTCTCAACTTTTGCAGATTTGAAGAAAATAATAAAATTGTGCCTTTGTCGTTTAAGCGCCCCACACCTTGCAAGAAAAATCCAGCGAAAAACCACCGCCTGGATTCCCCGGCCTCGAAACTATGCTTCCACTTTTATTGACCGCTGTTCACGAGGGAAAATTAACGATAGAAGTAATTATAATACTTATAAAATTGACGATAATTTAAGATTCCAATCGAGATATCGTATAGAAAACATTCCTTTTCGATATGTCATTGTCGTGAGATAAATGATTCGTATCTTGTTCGATCAATTCTTTTTTTTTATCACCATTGAGTATAGAAAGAAATTTTACTTTCTTCTTCTTCTTCTTTCTTCCTTTTTAGGATATAATAGACAAACTCTATAGAAATCCGAAAAAGATCTTCAACGTGCCAGATCAATCGAACACCTACATCGAAGTGGACCTCGACGACGAGTGGACGATTCCGGAAGCGATGCCTTTCAGCAAATCAAAGTGGACGCCTTTCGCTGGAATGAAAGTTCGTGGTTCTGTTCATCGTGTAGTGCTTAGGGGAGAGGTTGCCTACGTCGAGGGGCAAGTTCTTGTAAATCCTGGCTTCGGCCAGGATATTAGAGAGATTCAATCGAAAATGAAAGTTCAAACGATTGTAAATGCGCCTGTCATCGACGTAACTACTAGTCGGCCGAACTCGGCATTGGATGGCCTTTTGTCGCCAAACTACGAAAAGTACAACAATTATATCGAGCGGATAACGGATATGTCGGAGGAAGATCAAAACGGTGAATGAAAAATTCTGATCGCGAGTTTTCTCCTCTTGCTCTCCATTAAAAATAATTTCATTTATCCCCATCGATTTCCAGAATCGTACGCGCATCTGTTGCAAACAGCGGCTCACAAATCGAACGTTCACTTCGCCTTGGATGTGGATACGCGCGAACATTCGAAACTCGTAACAAGTCAACAACGCACAATCTCACCCCTCCCCATTAGCAATGCGACGAAATACAAAAGCGACAGCAATCCCAATCTTCTATCGACTTCGGTGCCACCGATCACATCGGTCCACGTTTGTCACAATCTAGTCGGCCACAACATTTTGACAGTGGATATCTTCAACAAAGACATGTTAAAGGATATCTTTAATCTCGCGGAAATTCTTCGCAGCGCCGTTAGAAAGGAACGACTCCTGGATCATATTTTACGGGTAAGAACGTATAATTTACATTTACATACCGCGATAAATTCGTTTTCAATGTTGATCTTTTTGCGCGTACAGGGAAAGTTGCTGGCTACGATCTTTTACGAGGTTAGCACGAGGACGTCTTGCAGTTTTGCGGCCGCTATGCAACGGCTTGGAGGAAGTGTGATATACATGGACGGTACAACTTCGTCGGTAAAAAAGGGAGAAACTTTGGAAGGTTTGTGTATATGGATAGCGAATAGATAATAATCGATCAAAATTTAACTTGACGAACGAATTTTACAGATTCGGTGATAATGATGGCTGGATACGCGGATGTGGTGGTGCTACGACACCCCGAATCTACTGCCATTGCGGTAAATGTTAATTTTTTGTTATCTTTGGTGTAAAATATTTGCGAAAATATTTAAGAACAAATGTACTATTTGCCGTATAAATGGTTCGTGTACAGAGAGCTGCCCAACACTGTAGAAAACCTTTACTGAACGCCGGTGATGGTATTGGAGAACACCCGACTCAAGCGTTGCTCGATATTTTTACGATAAGAGACGAGATCGGCACGGTGAACGGATTGACAATCACCATGGTTGGGGACTTGAAACATGGTAGAACGGTCCATTCCCTGGCAAGGTCAGAAATTGTTTGCGTGCAATTTTTAGAATCTATAATCAATCAAAGAGTTTAGAGCTCGATTAAATATTCGCTTCGCGTTACAGATTATTGACTCTGTACAATGTTGAGCTTCGTTACGTGTGCCCAACCGGCCTTGGTATGCCTGACCATGTTGTCAAGTACGTGTCTGATCACGGAATACGTCAGGACAATTTTACCTCTCTCGAAGAAGCTCTTCCCGACACTGATGTTCTTTACATGACACGCATTCAAGAAGAACGTTTCGCCTCCCACGAGGAGTATAAAAAAGTAAGTCGTCAATAAAATATAAAATTTTCTCTTAACGTGATAATTATTAATTATACGTTATATGATCTTGACCGAAATTTAATTATCAAGATAAATCTTATTTACGTATTTAGAATGAGATATGGAAAAAAAAAAAGTCACGAAAAAATCATAAGCAGATAAACATTTTTTTCATTTTTCGAAAAGTTATATCATAAAATCGAATTCTTCGATAAAACCAAAAGTATTATATCACATTGATTAAATGTGTAACAATGTGTAACGGAATATTGGTATATTTACAGGTTTGCGGGCATTTCATAATAACTCCACAGTTAATGTCTCGAGCGAAAAGAAAAATGGTAGTGATGCATCCTTTGCCACGAGTTTTCGAAATCAGTACAGAATTTGACACGGATCCACGTGCTGCTTACTTTCGACAAGCCGAAAACGGCGTCTATGTTCGAATGGCACTTTTGGCAATGGTTCTTGGACGTGCGTGACCTTATTCGAAAATAAGGACAACAAGTTTCGATAGATCAAGATTAGCTTGATTTTAAATGTATTATCAATAATATATAAAAGAAAGACAAAATGTTTCCAATTGCATTTCCAATTAACCGAGATAATGATGACGTTTTGCTGTTGATCAAAGGAATAAATATCGTCAAGTGGCATCTTCGAAAATAGAAATAGCTAAAAATAGGAATGATAAGCGAAATATATTTTGACCGAGGCGAGTCAAAATATTAAATTCGTCCAAATTACAATAAAGAAAAGGAAGACATTATTTTATTAATACCCGCGTAATTTGATAAGAGTATATTTTGATAATTTTTTTATCTTTGTGTAATATATTTACAAGAAGAATGAAATTTATCACCGATACCTCCGCTTCATATATATCATTGTACACAGATGGATAAAACCTTATATTTTGTAATAAAATCTTTTATTTTTGACAATACATTTATTTACAATTTTCTTTCATATGTACACGTACAATATACGTATAAGTGAATACTTATGTTTAGAATTAATATACAATTACACGTTAAATGCTAACGTGTATATTCGCATATATCATAATAAGCGGACATATTCGCTTTTAACATCAGCATTTTCTTTCGTACTTTTACCAGTTAATCGAATTAATCGAATCATTAGTAATAAGATGATTGTTTCATTGGAACATCGATGTTTCATCGTTTATCAACTGTTATTAAGATCGAAAGAATGAGTAGACCTCAAAAGAATAGACGATATTGTATAAATGAAAATACTCGTATTCAACTCGTTTCGCAGAAAGCTTGCCTTTACGTATACATACTCTACATTCTCAGATTTGAACGAGTATGCGATCGCGTTCTTTCATCTTTATTTTATCTCTGAATGGAAGATTAAATAATTGAGCTAACAATACCTATACATATTCGATTATTTGAGCAATTACTAAAAATTTAGATCCGTATCGTTGACTTTCAATCCCTTTAAAATTACTATTTAAATTATTGTTACTTAATAAATTTCTATGTTCACTTTTAAAAACAATCGCTATAAATATGCGATCGATGCGATCGAGAGAGTTGATAACTATATATATATATGTATATATATATAAAATCATGAAAATCACAGTTACACGAAATGATATTGAGTTGAAGAACTTTGCGAAAGATAGGTTATTTGCAAAATTTGATCACGTCATTTACACGTATAAACACGATAAGTCCACTCGATCTATGATTAACACAATTTTCCGTGTATATTTCTTCTGTTGATTTTTTAAATTTTTCGTCGAACTGTATTTTTAACGACTTCCTTCCCGTTTAACGAAGAAATTGGATAGGAGTTGGACCGGTGGCATTTCGTTCCTTATGCGCGTTGGAAATCGACGTATCGCAAGAGATGTCAGACTATAACATCACGTGTTCGAAAGCCGGCGTCGCTAGCACCGTTTGGGCACATATCCGATGCCAAGGATTTCGCGTCCTCCTTTTGATTTTTTCTCATTCGAGACAATGGTGGCATTTTCAATTTCAATTTCTTTTTCTTTAAAACATCCTTCTTTCTAAAATGGGAATAAAAATTAAATTACGAATCGATCCTTTGTTTCCTCTCTTTCGCGAAAAATGTCTCCCAAAGGGAAACGAGTTACGTACTGATGCTTGCAATCGATAAATATCCCCATTGAAAATAATATCACTATAGCTATGATGATACCGATCACCACTACCACCAGCGTTACTATCGCGTCCTCTTCTTCGGGAGTAAAGGGTTCCTCTGTCGTTGACCACGACACTTCTCCTGTCCAACAGATAAAAAAATACATGATAACGATAAATGTGCCGATGGGACAAATTTAAAAAAATAAAGGTTGACAAATTTTTTTTTACACACATTCTTGCTTATTCTTTTGCTTATTTCCCAACAGCTTATTATATAAATTTCCGGTCAATGACCAAACGAGGTATTGCGAGATTTGATCTCTTGCAACATTCAACTACGAAAAAGCATAGTCTTGCACATTTAAATTTCACGCGATATATACACAGGTTTGGTCATACGAGGGGAGGACGAAAGATTTAATAATTCGACATTGGATTGACGTCATCCCATGACTTCCGTTCTTCGGATAAGAAGTTGTGGATGACGTCTTTTCGAGCACGTACGCCACCCTGAACAGATTCGACCGTCCAGACGAAACAGGAAATGAAAGGGTCTGAAACTGTTTGTTGGAACGCAATCACTGGCAAACGAAAAACGTCTTATGCGCTTGTTCGAAAGCATCATTATCGCATACATACGCTGTGTACTCGTGAAAGTTCGTTGTATCAAAAGTTGGTCGGCAGTTTTGGAATAACGCATTAACGGTACATGTTCGCGAGTATACGAGTATTATCGTGGTTAGATTCATTAAATCATCGAAGCTAAAACTTGTTCTGGTGGGATTAAAACATAACAGGAAAGATCGTGCACGGTTGATGAAACATCCCTGTTTGTTTCGTATCGTAAAATTCACGAAGAAAATCTATTTTCTATGGAGTTTTTAAATTATGATATTTATTTACAGTATTGTATTGTTTGATGCATCGAGGAAGAAATTGAAAGTCTTTTTTATTTTTCATTGATCCAAGTGTTTAAAACTTTCAATTATTTACAAGTATTTAAATCAAGCATATACATTGTTCGGAATTGGATGATTTTAAAATTATAATTTTATCTTGAAACGATAGAATCTATCTTTCGTTTATGATAAAATTAATTGAAAATAATACTTTCCGTTGAAAATGAAAATTTATATATTTAACGCCCATTGATTAATACGAGGGGCGTTAGATGCATTGGTATCAGTTCTACACCGATAAATTTACGTACGTAAAAAATGATATGTTATTAATAATATATATTCTATTTTAGATTTTTATAATTCTTAATTTTATGAAAAGGATGGTATTATTTTAATTTCGTGAAAACGATCTTTCAGACAAGGAAATATTTTTGTAGGTTACCAAGAAATTTTATCACATTTGCGCAATTGCTTTTAATTTCTACTTCATATAAAACAACAAATCACGCTGATAATATTGAATGATAAATATCGCAATAAGTAGTCATGTAACCAGATCCGACATAACTGTTATTACAATCGTGTGATCACGACAGGTTAGCAGAGTATAACAATAAGACTTTATCGATGCCTGTACGTACCAGTACCAGTGTATACCTATCCTTTCCTCTTGTGTCGTGATTTGTTTGTTATAAGCAAATACTTGTTTTCATCCAATAACTTGATTACCTTCTTCTCTTTTATAATGTCAGTGTACGTAAATCAAATTTTTTCTTTTATTTAAAATCCCACCAGATATATTTGAAATAGAACTCGTCTCGATTTATATGAAATTCAAATCCAACATTCTCCGAATAAAGTTTGATCTCGTGATATTATTGATATTATGTTACAGTCGAAGAATAAGTAGAAAAACCGGAATAATTTTTTCTATACGTTTCGTCCCTTATACAATCCCTTGTACACACTAGCTAGGTATGTGTATAGGCGACGAGAGAAAAGCAAACGTTCACGTTTTGCCACCTGTTGCGTTTTGTACAGAACCTAAGATTTAGTCTCAATTTTAGATGAATTTAGCGAGAAAATATAAAAGAAGGAAAGTTATCGATCGTTTCACTTTAAACGAGTTGTTTTCTAATAAAATTTTGTTAATCAAATTTTGATATAAAATTAATAACAAGTCTACATCGAATTAATAACAATTACCTTTGGTCGATAACGCATTTCCAAGACTGTCATTGACATTCCTGGCGTGCATCCCCATATCAGCGATCAATCTTTTCCTCTTACTTCACTTTATTTGCAGAGAAACGTTCGGAATCGTCCACGATTTGACCGGTTCGAAATCACGAAGTAAACTGTCCGCCACATGCCTCGAGTCAAGTGATACGCTTGGTGAGGCCTCTACGAGGCAAACGGAAACCGCAAGCGTGCAATGAAGACCGACAATAATGAGCCAACAAGAAGAAGAAAGAGAGGTTAGCTACGCTTCGTGGATTGCGGGAAGAGAAAGGAGGGGCAGAGAGGAAAGAGAAACCTCACGGTCTCCGTCTGAGATTCCATGAGGATCGACATATAACTTCCATTCACCGTCCGTGATTCACGTACAATCTGGCATGTACAATTAACCTCGCTTGATAATCATTTTTTCTAAATTCTCCTTTGCTTTTAATAGTTTTTATGTCTTTTAGCGTGCAACTAATTATTAAAACAATAAGAAACAATTAATTTATTACTTCTCGTTTACTTTTATGTGATAATACGTTAATATTATATATTAATTATTTATTTAATAGTTCTGACAAAAATTTTTAACTAATTTTACCATTTTAGAGATATATATAGAATGTCAAATAAATAATCTAGGAAAAGATGAATGATTCTATATGAAGAAATAAGTCAAAAAATAGAGAATATAATTTTCTCTATTGAGTCTTCGCTTTAAAATAAATCAAATACAACAAATTTTCAAGTACAAATGAAAGTGGTTATTTCCCGATTAGATAATGATGAATTTCTCTTTTGATGAGTGAGTTATCAAAAAGAAGTAATTATATATGTGAAAATATACAGAAAATATAGAATAAATTTTTTTCATATAGAAATTAATTTAAAAAAAAATTGAATTTGACAATTTACCAATTATACGATTTTTTCAATATATATTTAATTTCAATTTTCATGGAAACAAAGAGTGATAAAATTTTACTATTTTACTATTTTTCGATTGTATTATCGATATGGATATCATGTACTTTGAAAATGACGTCAAATTTTTGGAATTTTAAGATTTCTTAGAAATAACGTCGAATTCTTGGAATTTTTGCGATTCTTGAACGAGAACGAAATTTTTTACTAAAATACAATTTTGTATTAGGAGAACATAATCAGAGGATGGTTCGAGAAATTTTTCCAAGAATTTTAGCAGTGGAAATGACATCAAATTCTGAAATTAAAAACGCGTTAAACAATCATTATAAGTTCGACTAAGCCAAATATACGTAAATAGAATAATAATTAAGAAATATGTAATTTTGATTATTATGTTATATGTATATAAATGTATGTATATAAATATGTAAATAATATACAATAAATGTTATTTTTCAATAAATAAATGAATTTTTTATTTAAAAAACATTTCCCACATTCCTATATTCCTTCCAGTCCTTTAGATTTAAGTAAATTATAAAAAAAAGGTTCCAGAAAAAGAAAATAATAGAGTCTTATAAAGTAAGTATAAAAAGGTAAGTAGAACGAAAGCATAAGGTAAGTACAATTTCCTTTTTCATTTATATTCTTCTGTAAAAAAGTAAAAAAAAATGAATAAAAAATGAATTTTTGTACTATAAAAATGTAAATTAAATAGAAATAGCTCGAAAATTTTAAGCAGTTCTATGAAATAACATCAAATTCTTAGAATTGCTAAAATTCTAGGAAATGATGTGAAATTCTTGGAATTATCGAAATTCATAAAGATTTAAATTTTTGCCCAAAAATGCGATTTTGTATTAGGAGAACATAATACGATAGGAGGTCGATCGAAAAATTTTTCCAAGAAATGACGTCAAATTCTCGGAATCACTGAAATTCTTGGAAATGACGTCAAATTCTCGGAATCACTGAAATTCTTGGAAATGACGTCAAATTCTCGGAATCTCTAAAATTCATGGAAATGACGTCAAATTCTTAGAATTTCTGAAATACTTGGAACTGACGTCAAATTCTTAGAAATTTCCTATTTAATTTCGAACGATCCGAACTTGTAGCGAAAAATTCAATTTTGTATTAGGAGAACATGATACGATAGGAGGTCGTTCGAAAAATTTTTCCAAGAAGTGACGTCGAATTCTTGGAATCTCTGAAATTCTTGGAAATGACGTCAAGTTCTCAGAATCGCTACAATTCTTGGAACTGACGTCAAATTCTCGGAATTTTTAAATTTCTTGGAACTGACGTCAAATTCTCGGAAATTTCCAAGCGCTCGAACGATATATCGAAACTTTTGGCCAAAAATTCCACTTTTTATTAGGAGAACATAATTCAAAAGGAGTTTTTACATATTTATCTTATACTTACCGTTGTCCTACTTACTTTTTTACCCTTTTTCTTAGCGTTGACATATTTTTAAAGCATCCAAACATTTTCTTTCACAGTTTACATTAATTTAGTTATTTTCTGCATGCACATTTATCTTTTATCATGAATGCTGTCACTGTTAGTGCGTTTTTTATCATTTTTTTAATTTTTAAACATTATTTTGAGCGTCTCGCTTGTTTTTAGGAATACTAAAAAATGTTTCGAATAAATGTTACATGGTTTCGAAGGAGTAACACCCTGCTGCAATTTATTTTTTTACACATAGAAGCGTAATGAATTTATAGAAATGATTGTTGTTTTTCTACAAAGGATTGTACATTTTTTAATATACCAATTGGTGTCTTCTAACATTCTTTAGAAAAGAGTATTAAGCCATATATAGTAAAAAACTTATAATTTATAGAATAAGCAAATTTAATAAAATATCTTTTAAACTAATGGTCTTTTGCTAAAAGTGTTTTAGTACTTTTTTATAGAAGATACTATAGTACATCAACCGATGCTATAAAAAATACCCGATGCCATTTAAAAAAATAAAGTTGACCTTAAGAAATTTTTTATGAGTTCACCTACGAAAAAAATAAGGATATCAGATTATATCCCTTTCGAAACCATTCAACTTTTATTCGAAACTTTTTTCGATATTGTTAATAATAAATGAGATATTTAATAAAAAAATGAATAACGAAATTCCCGTGAAGGAAGAAAAATTTTTGTCCAAATATGCGATTTTGTATTAGGAGAACACGGTACGATAGGAGGTCGATCAAAAAACTTTTCCAAGAAATGACGTCAAATTCTCGGAATCTTTAAAATTCTTAAAACTGATCTTAAATTCTTAGTAATTTCCTATTGAATTTCGGACGAACGAAACTATTGGCCAATAATTCGATTTTGTAGAAGAATATGATATGATAGGAGAATTTTTTCCAGGAATTTTTCGTTCAATTTTTTAGAAATGAAGTCAAATTCTTAGGAATGATGTCTATTTCTTGGATTTTCTAAAATTCTTAAAATTCTTAGCACAAATTTTTCTTCTATTTTTCCAATTTTCTATTAAGGAATTTTAATTAATAAATATGTGTTACGAGAATTTTTTCAGAAATTACTAAATATATGAACATTTGTCAATATCTTGATCTGTTGTATTAGAAAAATAGTCAAATGTTAAGTGTTATACATTATTGATTATTTTTTATTTAAACTGTACCAATTCTTATTCTTATCTTTATCTTTTTTACTTCTTTACTTATTTTTATCTTTTATTTATCTTATCCATTAAATCTATTATGTTTTCAGGATCTATTCATTTTTTTAATAATTTTAATCCTAATTAATATTATATATTATGCGGAAAGGATATATAGGATATATATACGTATACAGAACTTGAAAAGATTTTAATATATCTGTATTCTCTCTCTCTCATTCTCTCTCGATATATATATATATATATATATATATATATATATATATATATAT